CGGGGTACCATCGACGATAGTGAAGATATGATAGTGATGGTATCTACTTCACTATATGATAGTGAAGTAGATACCATCCTGGATTTCTTTGACAGCTTTTAAATACTGCTTCTGTGCCCAAGAGAGAGCAGGGAAAACAGAAGAGAGCCTTTGAGGTAGAGCTCCAAAATAAAGTCTCTTTCTACTTTTTCCTTATTAGGCAAAGATTGATAAAATAAACTTAAAGGAAAGATTCTTTTCTTAGAATCACGGGGGTAATCTTGTTGCTTCAAGGAATTTGAAGGAGGTCCCTTTAAAATGATTACATCTTGATCTTTTTGACACAAAACAACTGGCTACAAAGAAGGGTTATTATAAATTGTTACCTATTCAGGTTCAGCATCACATCCTCCTCTGTTGGATGAAGTTTTTTCTTCTGACTCTGATGAGTCACTTTGAAGTTATTTTAACTCATCTTCAGGTGAATTGTTTGAGGTCGCTACATTTTCACAGTTCTTCGAATCACACATTTTGAATGCAGTAGATGATCTTGAAAAAGGAGGAGAGGTCATTAGTTCCTCTTGGTACTCATAGACTGACTGGGAGTCACGGTCATTATAAAAGGGATCCTTAAAAAAAAGTTAGTAATAACGACAAAGATAATACCAGAGAAAAAATATGATGCAAAAAACATTTAACTTACTAAAGAGCTTAATTGAATTTTTGGGGAAGAAGCGTTCTCTTGGTCTGTGTGATAGTCTGTCTATTTTTTGCTTCTTCTGCTGCTTTTTTAGTAGCTTTATCACGGTTTTTAGCACAAGGAGATTTCTTTCGATTCATTCTTTAGAAACACCTAAAAAGTTTTGTATTTTATAATTAGTTTGTAAACAAAGGTTTTTAATATAAAAATAGAAACAGCACAAACTTTTTTATATAACAATCGGATAAAAGAACCTAAATTAGTTTTATTTTACTTACGGTTTTGGCGTCAAAGTGTTTGTAACAATCACTGATACTTTTACATTTGTTTTCTTTTGTTTAAAACTATTTTATTGCCGTATTTTTTATTGAAAATGTTTTTTATTGAAAATATTTTTTATATTATTTAATTTTGTTCAAAATTTTTTTTTATTTCCATCGAACTTGTTTAATTCAAGAATTAAAATACATCCGCGATGGGCCGTTACATCAATTCCCAAGAGACACTCCTTTGTAAACAAAATATTAGCTAATTTTATTTTATTTTTTTTTCTTTCCTAACTTGGCAACCGTAAAAATTAAAATTTAAAGCAAAAACTATGTTTTTTTTAAGTTTTTTTAAGTCTTTAAAAAGTCCTTACGGTCTTATCACAGAACATATTATCTAGGGTCCTACGAATCACTTTTTTTGGTATCGAATCAAATCACGAATCGAAGCAGGCTTTGATTCGCAAATCGAGTCGAATCTCGAAAAAAATTAGCATTTTGATGAGACCTATGTTTTAGTTAAACTTATATTTCCTAAAAATGGTAATTGGACTCGTGGTTCAGTTCGATTTGCAAATTGAAACCTGCTTCGAATAGTGATTCGAAACTAAAATTATAGATATTAGTAATTATAGATATTAGTAAAATCTTTGCCGGACGATTAGTTTTTTGTGTTTTTCTCAAAACAATAAAAATGTGACTTATTGCCTTTTAGAAAAACGCTCTTCAATCAGAAAAGTAAGGAGCTGCACAAAGCCCTTCATCACATTCTACACATTCACATTTTTAAATCTTTTCGAATTTTGTGTTTGTAACATACCACACACCTTCTTTGAGCAATTAATTATGTAATTATGTAGTAATAATGGGGATTAAGAAACCACTTTAAGTTTGCGTAACAATACGACATGGACTGTTAACGGGTTAATAACCAAATACTTATTTAATCAACATCAACAATTTTCCTAACCGCAAACCAAAAGAAACGATTTAAGCAAAAATTGATTCTATTGGGTTCAAAGTTGGCAATTCGATTACTCTAAACCTGATGCAAAAATTCTATCAACTTGTGCTTTCGTAGCGCCGTGATTAGCACGCTTGATTCAGAAACTAGAAAACTCGCACCTCTGGGCAAGTTTTATAACGTCGGTAAGGAAAGACGCTGGAACTTTTTTTCAAATGCTTTTCCACGGTGCTTTGAAATAAGATCGTGAAGACTTCTTGGGGACCTGGTAGAGACAAGTCGGCTTAATTTCTTAAAAAATACGACGCTGGATTTTCTCTTTTGCTTTTACAGTTAAGGGGCAACTACCCTCACATTTTTTTAAAAATTTGATTTTTTTTTTTTTAATAATTTTAGACTAAAATTTTATGCAGATTTTGAATCTGCAAAAAAAATCAAACATTTTTTTATAAATTTTTGTTTAATTTATGTTTTTTTGAACTCAAGTAAAAAATATTTGCATAGCAACGCGTTGCTATGGAGGCGAATATTTTGTTTGTGAACATATCCTGGAGTACTGTTTCAAATATATGCTTTGATTTATATCTTCTTTGCTAATAATTATTCTGTTCCTTATTATATGCCATTTACAATTGCTACTTTAATACGATTTTATCAAGTTATCAAAGCTAATTTATACAACAGCAGAAATTAAAAAATATGACAAAACCTACTGATTTGGGTGTTATTTTGAACAAAAATATTAATGATAGAGTAAAGCAGAGAACAAATTACTATAAAAAAAGAAGAGGATTTATGGTGAAGAAAAATAAAAATGCATGTAATGTAAGTGACTCTATTAAAAGAAATATTTTGGGAGCATCAGCTAAAAAAGTAAAAGTTGTTACAAATGTACCAAGTAAAAACATTAAAAGAATTACTGGTCACAGAATTATAGACACTGAAATTTTATCTAAAGTTCTTTCATTGTTAATGTGTCCTCAATGTGAAAAGTGTGCACTGTACTTAGGTGATCATCAGAAAATAAAGAAAGGTCTAGCAACGTTGCTATATTTAAAGTGTACTACACTATCTTGTGACTATAAACATGAATTTTATACATCAGTTGCTTGTGATAAAGGGTTTGATATTAACAACAGGACAATATATGCAATGAGAGTCTTAGGCCATGGTCATTCTGGCATTGAAAAGTTTACTCAGCTCATGAATATGCCAAAACCCATGACACCCAAAAACTATTCAAAAATTACAACTAAAATAAAAAACATCGTGAAAAGTGTTGCAAACGAAACAATGTCAGATGCTGCAACTGAAATGAAAGAAAATGCAACTAGTGAGGACATTGTTGATGTTGGTGTATCATGCGATGGATCATGGCAGAAAAGAGGATATCAGTCAATGAATGGAGTTTTTACCGCATTTTTAATAGATAGTGGAAAAATAATTGATGTTGAACCTATGAATAAATCATGTAAAGCTTGCTGTATGAAAGAACAATTAAAAAAATCAAATCCTGATGCATATGCTAATTGGAAAAACAAACATATTTGCCTGTACAATTATCAAGGTACAGCTGGTGGTATGGAATCAGTTGGCGCAGTGAGAGTTTTTAAACGCTCCATCGAAAAACATAAGTTAAGATATACTCAATTTCTTGGTGATGGGGATAGTAAATCCCATCTTTCTATCAAAGATATATACCCAAATATGGAGGTAAAAAAGTTGGAGTGTGTAGGACATTACCAAAAACGAGTTGGTACTCGCTTACGCAAGTTAAAAAAAAATGTTAAGGGTCTAGGTGGTCGTGGTCGACTAACCAATGCAGTTATTGATCGCTTGCAAAATTTTTTTAGAAACAAGCAGTATTAGCTAGCCTTTTCCATGTAGCTTCTTCTAAGGAAAATAACTATCATATTTACTGCCCGACTGGAGGTGATAGTTGGTGTAAGTTTAACATCGATAAAGCAAAGTCTACTTCCATATACAAACTTGGACCAGGAATTCCTGTGGATATTATTCACAAAATCAAGCCAATATATGCTGATTTAAGTAAAGATTCTGAATTAGTAAAGTGTCTTCATGGCAAAACCCAGAATTGCAACGAGAGTTTTAATAATTTAATATGGGATAGATTACCAAAAAGTAATTATGTTGGTTTAGTCAGTATAGAGTTTGGAGCGTACGATGCTGTTGCAAATTATAACATCGGTATGAAGTCTGTCATTTTAATTTATGAAAAACTAAATATGAAACCAGGGCATTTTACTTTAGCTGGTTGCAGACTCATAAACAAAAAACGAATAAAACTATCATTATTTAAATCGAGTGAAAGTTTTAAGATGAAACGAAAGATGTTACGACGTCAACGATTATCAAATGATCATCAAAAGTCAATAGAAAAGTCCAAGGAATATTATGAATCTGGTAGTTTTTGAAATATTCTTTTAAAAAGCTATTTTTTTAAAGATATTTTTATGAAATGAACAATAATTTATGATTTTATTTTTTGTTTTGTGTTTTCTGAGAATTTAATTTTTAAACACGCCGGGAAAAAAATCTTGAAAAGTATACATGCTATCATGATGAAATTTTCAGGGATCGTTCATTTTACCAATATTTATGATATGAGCGGAGTAGAATTTCTCATATGACTTAAGATTTTGAGTTTTTTAGTTTTTTTCTTTGTATTTTGACCTTTTTTTTAATAATCTAATTTGACTGTAGCTTTTTATCAAAAAAAGATTTTTATTTAAAAATCTGCTTCGCTCATATCACAAATTTACATATTTAGAACAGTTCTACAAAATTTCATTGACACTCCTTTACTCATAATTCTTATTTTTTTTACGGCGTAAACACAGTTTTTGTGGGTTTTTTAGCTATTTTTTTGAGTTGCCATAGCAACGAGCTACCATTTTATGTATTTTTTGGTATTTTTAATGTCAGTATAATATTTACTATACGACTAAAGAAAAAGTTACTTTATATGTGTTGTTTTGAAATTTGAGGGTAGTTGCCCCTTAAAGAATACTTTTTTTTAACTCGAACATTAATATTTCACAACCCTAATACTAAATCAGAAAAATAAAAATTAAGATTACTATATATTCATACGTAAAATTATATCTAATGATACATAAGCTTATGATGCTTTTATATATTTTTTTGTGTTCAACCTTAACTAAATAATGCCGTCATCATTGTGATGTAAAACGTGAAGCCCGTTTTGATGTAAAATTTTTTGCACAACCAAGTAATAACATTTTACAACCAGCATGAGTAACCAGTTTCAATATCAATAAACTGTTTACGTTTACTGTCGATGAACTGTCACTTTACGTAAAAAGATCATTGCAATGTTTTAACTTTCTGACTTTCTCCTTTCATTCGCAGTGCTTTGGAATCTCGTTCCGTGTTTTGCACCATTAATTGGGTAGATATGAAAGACTAAAAAAAATATTAAAAATAGCATGAATATAACAAAAAAATTGACAATTAAGATCTTGTTTAATTACACTAATTAACTTACCTGAAAGCTTACCAACTATTTTAAATTTTAAAACAGAGAAATTCTAAAATATTTCGGAAATTCCGTACTTAACTAAATCACCATGGTGATCATAATCCATAGGATAAAATTTCAAAAAATATCAATTTTACATTTGCAACAATTTATTCTACATGCAATCAGTACCTGTATTTGCTCTAACACGTCATTTCTCATTTCTCGTGCCATACGGTAACTAATAAAAAATGTATATAAAACAGGAGTGTATGACCAAAACAGCTTTTTTTTCCACCGTTAACCTTTCGATGGACATCCCTGGTCAAAAAGTTCTAAACGAATTTGGAACAAAAAAAAGATAAAACTTTGATAACTATAATCTGCTTAATTTTAATGTCAAAAAATTAATGACACAAAAATGTCAAAGCTGACATTTTTTTGTCCAAAATTCGAATAGGATCATAAAGAACATTTTGACTAGGGATATGAATCATAAAACACAATAAAAGGCACATAAACAAATGCAAAATACAAAAGCACATATACAATGTCAACATTGAATAAGCAGCGTTGAATAAAGGTCGAAGGGTAGGCAAAACTTTACAATTTTAATACACACATGTATATAAAATATCAATATTATTTATTTTGTATTAATATCTATTGCCTTGGCTTATTTTAAACCATTTAATGGTTTTTAAATTGTATTTTACACAAAGTAAATTCTTAAAGTTAATATATTATATATTATACATATTTTATATATATATATATATATATATATATATATATATATATATATATATACATATATATATATATACATATTGTATATATAATATATATATATATATATATATATATATATATATATATATATATATATATATATATATATATATATATATATATATATATATATATATATATATATATATATATATATATATATATATATATATATATATTATATATACAAATATATATAAAATTTAGTTAGTATTAGGGTTTTTTCTTTATTCATTATCTTCTAACATTATTTTCTATAACTCTAATTCGATAACTTTTCTCTTTAATACTTCTTTTTCTTCCACCGTTATTCATACTATTAACCTTTATTATTTATTATTTTAATCAGTAATTACTATTATTATTATTATTATTATTATTATCTATTGACAGTATTATTACAGTACTTATTTTTATTAGTTTTATTTTTATTACACTGCCGAGCAGTGATTTTTAACCAAAATTAGTTATTTCTTATGTATTTCCACCAATTCAAAAATGACGTTAAAAATGAAATATTAGCTCTTGCTTAAGAAATAAAAAATTTTTCTATAATATATATTATATAATATAACTTATTATATAAATATAATAAATTATATATAAATTTTCACTATATAATTTTATATAAATTTTCATTTTTTGAAAAATATATTTTTTTGTTTTTGACTATCCATAATGTTTTATTCATGTTTAAAACTTGTGATATTAGTTATGTTTGCTAAGGTTTCTGGCCTAATCTATTCTTAGTTTTTTTAATATTTATTTACTAGTGCAAAATTTGACAAACCAACATGCCAAGGAAGTGTGTAAATTTAGTCGAGGATTTTTGTTACATTTGTGGTGAAATAACATTTTCCTCACAGAAAAAAACAACTCTTGTGAAAACTGCTTACCAACATTACTTCAATATGAAGGTAGGGGATAAGTTATGGCTTCCACATATATGCTGTAACTCTTGTACAGTTACAATACAAGAATGATTGAAAAATAAAAAAAGATCTTGCTTTTGCAGTTCCTATGGTATTGAGGGAGCCTAAAAACCATACAGATGACCGCTATTTCAACTTGACCCCCATCCATTAAGGCAGGTCTTCCATTTTGAAAGATCCTGATTTTGTGTTAACAGATGATGTGCCACACAGATTGAATCAAGCAGGATTAAGTGATCTTGTTCAATATCTGGACTTGTCACAGGGAAAAGAAGAGTTTCTAAGGTCTTGACTAAAGCAGAATCTTCTCCAATTTGATGTCAAAGTTTCACATTACAGAAAACGGTCTCCTTATTTTTTTTGAGAAGAAAAATAATCTTTTTGTTTGATATCTTTGGATTAATGTATTGCCTTAATTTGAACTATAATCCAACTTAATGGACTATTCATAGACTCATCTAAGCTAAGAAAATCTGCATTACTGCATTATTGAAATCCTTCTGTTCCTATTGGCCATGCGGTTCTCATGAAAGAGATATATATAAACATGAAAGTTAACCTCAATTTAATTAATTACAATGAACACAAATGGAAAATTTGTGGTGATCTAAAAGTCATTACTATACTTTTAAAAATGCAACTAGGGTATACTAAATGCTGCTGCTTTTTGTGTATGTGGGACAGTAGAGACAGAAAATCACATTATATAAAAAAAGATTGGCCTGCAAGAAATCTCAATACAGATAAAAATTTTATAACTGAACCACTTGTGGTCCAAAAGATGTTGTTCTTCCACCATTACATATTAAGTTTAATGAAAGATTTTGTCTTGTCTTTGGTATGAATATAGAAGGACAGGCTTTTAGGTATTTAAGAAACAAATTTCCAAAAATAAGTAATACAAAAACTAAAGAGGGTATTTTTGTTGGGCCAAAAATATGCCAACTTATGAAGGGTCCTAAATTTGACAAAGTTTTGAAGGGGCAAGAAAAAGAAACTTGGGAAGCTCTTAAGGAAGTGATTTGTGAATTTTTAGGCAACAAAAGAGATGATAACTACATTCAATTGGTAACAGTAATTCTGCAAAAATATCATCAACTTGGATGTAACATTCCCCTCAAGATTCATTTCCTCCACTCACACCTAGACTTCTCCCCCCCCCCCCAAGTTGTGTAGCTGATAGTGATGAACATAGAAAAATATTAAACCAAGTTATTTCTATATTGGAACAAAGATATCAGGGTCGTTAGAATGAGGCTATGCTTGTAGATTACTGTTGGTTTGTGTGTAGGCGTCCAGAACTAGTTTACAAAAGGAAAACAAAAAGATCACAATCTTGTGATGATACCCCACAATCATCTCTCTACCTATTAGCATGATCATAATTTTTTTGTTTAAAACTGTTAGAGTATATCTGTAATAAAAAAAAAACAAATGCAGTTTAAATATTATTAGAATATGTAAATTATGTCATATTGCTATGTTGCAAACTGACTGTAAAAAAATAATTGCTATTGTATATCTCAGAAACTAGAGCTAATAAAAAATTTTTGTTGCCATTTTCTTTTTTCTCAGCCCAAAATTTGTATAAATTGAATAAAATTTTTGTAGCCCAGCATTATTAGTATTAATATTATATAAAAACTTTAATTTTTGTTCCTTTGGTTGTTGTGTTTGTCTGTTGTATTATTATTATTATTTGTTGTTGTATTTTTTATTTATCTATTGTTTTTTTTTTGTTTTTTTTGGGACTTCTTTTTAATATTTTTTTTACAAGGTCTCTGCTCTGAATTAGTCTTGTACTATTTGCATTGTCCCTTCACAAAAATATTATTGTAATATTTATACTATATCGTAAATGGTATTTATCTTTATGAAAAATATATTGATTGATTGATATTGATGATCAGAAAGTAAGTTATTAGACTGAAGATGAGAGATTAAGTGTTTGTTAATCAAAGACCTTTCTTATGATAGTAAGAAGACTAATGGGACATATGGGATAGTTAGGCAAGACTAATGGGATAGTCAGGCAAGTCAGATATTAATTAGACTGAAATAAATACATATAAATGATTTGTAAATTTCAGGGTTTATGCTTACAGCGAGTAGAAAAAAAATCTCTTTGAGATGTATCATTTAATATATCATAGTGAAACAAAACGTCAAAATCTTTAAAACTTACCAAAGGATATTAAAGGAAGATATTAAACCTTTAATATCTTCCTTTGAAACAAAACGCCAAGATATTAAAAGGAAGATATTTCAAAGGAAGATATTAAACCTTTAATATCTTCCTTTGAAACAAAACGTCAAAAACTTTAAAACTTGTCAAAGGAAGATATTAAACCTTTAATACCTTCCTTTGAAACAAAAGGTTAATTAACAATATTCTTCTTACAAAAGGTTCATTAACAATATTCACTAATTAACAATATTCTTTAAATTTTAAAGGTAAACCTTTAAAATTTGAAGAATATTGTTAATTAGCGAGTTTAAAATAACTTTTGTTTTCACTGTACACTAACATTAAAATTTTATATTTTTAAAATAATGTTATATAATTTTTCAGTATCTTTTCCAGTGATCTTCTCAGTGAACTTCTGTCAACATGAAGAATTCAGAGATCTTCTATTTGCTAGTTTTTTTTATATGAACCTGTTGTTCAAAGTAGACTGAAATTTGCAGTTGTTTTTCAGATTGTTGTGCGAATGAAGCTCATGTGATTGATGAGAATTGTAACATTAACGATTTGTAACTTTTTGCTTGTCATTTATTGGAGGTTTTTAATTTCTTGCAAATCAAACATTCAAAGCTCAAAGTGTTTTAAGTAAGAGTCTTAAGATAAACCGAATCAAAACATGATCATGTAAACAGATCATTTAATAAGACCACTATTGTCATCTTGATTCAGTTTTTCAAGCTGTTGATGGTTTTCATAGTTATTTTGATGGTTATTACAAACTCTTCAGAACCTATTAGTTACAAAAATCCAATTAGTTTTATACAAATTTGTTTCCTTCTTCAAAAAATACTGTTTTCTTATAATTTTTTAAGTAATTCTTATAACTTTTACCAGGGATTTCTTATAAATTTGTCAGAGATATTTAAATGCTAAACATTTTTTACTGAACAGATAATAACTCATAACAACTTACAAGACATATTTATCATATATATCATACTGGTAGTAATAAAAAATTATCTGAAGAATTCATAAAACTAATATACCAATTAAATTTTGTGATGAGTAAGACATTAACATGAAGATATTATACACTAACTAATCTGATCTACCAAACTTAGGAAATTATAATATGGGTAAAGAAAGGTTATATTTATTCTAAACCTTTTTATTTCTTGTAAACTTGAAGCAATTTGCAAACAATTACCATCTATAAGAGTTAGTGTAAAGTGAATAAAGAAACTCATTCAAAAGGTGTTTTCACACAAAAAAAATGAAGGATGTTTTTACAAAAATGTTAAAAATTGATTGATGTCTAACTCTTTCAAACAA